TTCCCCCAGCGGATTTCGAGTTTTTTTTCGGCTTTTCGTTCGAGACAGCAAAGTTTAAGACGCACAGTCCAGAAGTAGGGGTGGCAACTATATAAGAAGGTATGACATCACGAAAGTGCTGTAAATACCGAGTAAAATGGATGTTGTCTTAACGGGGGGGGGTGGCTACTAGTAGTAGTAGTAGTAGTAGTAGTAGTAGTAGTAGTACTAGTAGTAGTAGTAGTAGTAGTAGTAGGAGGATTAGTTAGTAGGAGTCGAGTAGCAAGAGCAACAGGAGCGGTAGGAGTAGTCGCTGTCGTAGTGGTAATTATGGTAGTTGCTGGAGTCTGGCCGGAGTAGGGTAACGGTACCGGTAGTGTGGTAGGAGGTACCCTAAAACCCAAAAAAAACTCCTTAAACCCCTCATACCCTTTAAATTTAAAACCCCTAAACCCTAAAACCCCTAAACTCTGAAACCGCCAAAACCCTAAACCGTTGCAGACTGAGGCCTTGGCGCCACGCTGCCGGGGACTCACCGGCCGGAGGCCTGTCGTCTGAACACTGTTATTATTCACCACGACAAGTAATAGTAATGCTGATATAATCGCATAAACAACGATCAGATAATATGAATAATAAAAGTCATAAGAAGAAGAACAACAATAACAATATAATAGTAAACATAACAACAAGAAGAACAAATTTAATAGCAATGAGATACTAATAGAGAAATAAACATGATAGTAACAGTAAGACTATGTTACTATGAAAAATAGCAATAGACTCAGAATGCTTTCACTAATGATTGTACTGTTCTTGGAACCTCTGCCAGTCCTGTGATTATTTCCTTGTTCGTCTTTGTCGGGAGTTTGCACCTATTACCGTTGCTGGTTGCAATACTTCTGATTCTGACTGCAATGTCATCTATTTTGACGACGCACATGGTCATTGTCCAAGATTCGTAAAAACGAATTAAGACAAGAGGTAGAAGCGGCCCACACAGTCATGTCTGCCATTAGACCGGGTTGGGCATGCATTCCCCAGCCGAAGCTTTCAACAGCTGAAAGTGTCGCACGGCGAAGTAGGGCTCAAAACTTCAGCTTACAAGTATCAGGGCAGAAAAAAGGCCTGGAATGCTATGTCGGGATACCCTAAACCCGGCATCATCTTTGGTATAGGTCGTTGTTGACAGAACCTGCGCGAAACTTGAGGAGTTTCGACAACATCGTGCCCTGACATCAACAGAACACTTCTTCATTGGAAGTGTGTCTATCACTGGGGACAGTTCCTACCTGCCAGTCTTACTTCCAACCACCTGGTAGCGCACATGCTGTAGAAATTGTAGTCTTCGTAGTGGAAACACACGTGTGACGACAAGTACCGCGAGTGCTGCTGTCATCGACTACGAGCCTGACAACCTTCCCACAGTTAATGAGCCTTACTGCATCATTACCCCTAGACCCTCAACCCTAAATTTCAAGAAGAGTGGTGTGTGACAGATTATTTCGGCATTTCACCGGCCGTCTTTACCGGCATATACAGTAATACAGTTGCACAGGAACCGGTTTCGGCACAAATCCCATTCCGGTCCCATCATGAGATCTATTATGCTCAGAGGCGTGCACACCGTCAGGCACACTGAAAGTGCGGTGTTGTACGTAGTTAGTCGTCATACGGTTGCTTCGGGACAGTCCGCGAGGGACGCATGTTTAAGCCCTAAACCCTAAACCCTACACTGTCCGTAACCCTCAACCCCAAATTTCCCCACCTGGGTCAGGCCATCGCCATGTCCGGTCGAAGCTGGGGCTGGGCGTCATCGGGCCACCGGCCCCTGAAACGGAAACTGTTCTTTGTGGTTATTGACCCTGTTTTTTCCGGAGAATGCAGCTCGTGCAGGGATCAGGGCCTAGGCTTTTGGATTCAGGGCTTACGGATCTTTGTTCCTGCTTGCCAAAGTCGGAATACCTCTATGGCGCATTATGGTGAAGCCAGTTCGGCATGGCCCGAAAAGCACCGAGAGAACCTGAACCTCCAACCACAAAAACCTCCTGGGCACATACTCTGCCAGCCACAGCTTCTGGTTTAGAGTTCAAGGATCAACCCAACCCCCTACACCTGCGCAGAAGTCAACCTGCGACTGCACGGGAGGCTGTCATGCTGCACGGGAAGCATCTGGCCACAACTCGGATGAATTGACCGACGATGAAATCTAGGAAGAGGCCTTCACTACGGGGCAAAATTTTAGCAGTCTGTAAAAAGCATGTAAGGCAGGGACACTGTGGCAGGCACTCTTCCAAGCCTCGGCTGAATACCTACAACTCTTGAAATTGGCTGCGCCACGAGCTGCATGGATTGCACAGAAGCCGATTGCACAGAAGCCGTCGTGCTGCACGAAGCTTGGCGATGTTCTCTGTACTTTGCAACACGCGAAGGGGCAGCAGAGCCCCGTGCCACAGAGGGGCGAATGACTTCGAGCTCGCGAGCCTGAGGGGCCAGCAGTTGACTCCAGAATGCTTCTCAAGCAGAGCTGCACGCTGGAACAGGTTCATGCACGCACTTCAAGCCACGTTTTCTCGGAACCACTGTTGCGACTGCCGACCTCGAGGGACCCGCGCAACATGGTCTGCCTGCTGCAGAAGACAGCTCAAACACGCAATCGGTCTGTTGCTGTGACATGCCATGCATCTAGGAGCTTCCTACAGCTTAACGTTTCTAGAAAAAAGGGGACAAAGGTGGCTTCAGTAAGAGACACGAACATCATTCGAACAGAATTCGGCAGAGCAGGCAAAGCAGATGCGTTTCACCACCTCCTTTGAGACAGTTGCCCATGCTGTTCGAACCTGCCATGTAAGGCTCCCAGCAAATCCGCAGGGCATGCCCCTGCTACATCAGTGTAGCACACAAAGATAGTGAGGGCATGTGCACAGAGCAAGTGCGTCGGCCAGGCTGCGTTGTCCACCAGTCTATGCCTCAGCAATTGCAAGAAAGGCAAACTCTCTCGCTGGGCGACATCACCGACAAGTGGGACACCTCAATATCCTTGGCAGCTGGGCTCCCAGCGCTTCCGGCCTCCTCAGTTCGTAAATCACTGGGTCGGCACTGGGGCCGGTAGGCAGGTCGATGGCATCGACCATGATCCGCCCTGCGCCGAGTACCACAGGGCTTCAAGAGGCTGAAGAAGATCTGTGGGTCTCGGTCTCCAAAGCATTTCCGAAGGGCCGCCTTCCGGAACGGAGCCGGGAAGATCCCTGCGGTGCGAGCTAATCCACAACGGAGCGGTACCTGTCTGCTGGCGGCGGCTAGCAGGTGCTTCAAGAGTGCTTCCGCAAATGTTCAAGACCTTGTGGCCGTAAACGCTTGTGATGCATGCGCTCCGCCGCCGCAGGAATGCTTTGAAAGCAAACCCTCAAGATCCAGACAGTGCGAAATCCTTCGGCATCCAAAGCAAGCTGAGGCTCACGAGGCTTGAAAACGACTTCCTCCGCAAGCAGAACATTGTCCTCCAGGTGCTGCGGTCGCTCTGTCTGAGGCTCTAAGGGGACAACCACACAAATCGAAGGCTTGCATGCTTAGAGAGCCACTACCTGTTCAGCCTCCCATAGCAAATCTTTCTGGTCACTCCTTGTGGCTCCAGGCACCATTTCGGGGCGCGATGCCAAGCTTCAGCTCGCTCTTCCGCGTCAGCCGGATCTCAGCGAAGGGGGTGAACTCCAATGGAGCGAAGTTGAGCGAAGCTCGGAGACCGCCCGCCCTTAAGCACAGCTTCTCGTGCAGCCGGAGGTCGCGAGAGTCTTCTGAAATGATTTCAACTAACTCAAGCCGAAGGCCTCCTTGCATCGTGGGGACGCAGGGGACAGCACCATATCCTCTCAGCATCGACATGTCGTCCCAGAATGGCAAGGTACACCTAAGTTGAAGCATGCGACCCGAACCCTGGATGTCCTGCTCCACCTCCACGGTCACAGGTGCGTGGAGCATTGCTCGGACCTGTATGTTTCTCTTGTGTCATGCTATAAACCTTCGGTCCACTAGTGACCAGCAAAGGGAGGCCTGCCACGCAGGGAAAGCCTTAAAGGTGGTGCTGGCATTGATGCTGCGGATCACGGCGCCTGCTCAGGGGAGAGCAGCTAGCGGGCGCAAAGCCAGGAAGAAGAGTGTCAGACACCGTTCAGTTAAATGTCATTGCGCAAGAGTCCTGCGAAGCCGGATGTTCACTCGGCTAGCGACTGTAGCTTTTGTCGTGACACTTGCAAGCCTAAGAGGGCAGCAGCAGAGAGCTCCGAACAATGAGCCAGCCTGCTTTCACACCGTTCTGCTCCGCCCGCCCTCCAGGCGTCACCACCTGGATGATCACGGGGTTGCCCTGGCAAAGAGCATCCCAATGAAAAGGGGCCTCAGGCTTCATGGTTGTTGGCCGAGTTCCGAGATTGATGCTTCTGCCTAAAGCAAATTGCTCCTGTTGAGGCGAAATGGCGGCGCTGTGCAAGAGCTGCATGCAAAGGTCTCAAGCCGCATGAACAGTTCCAACTCCACTGTGACGTGTGTGTGCAGGCAGTGGCTCCTTGTGTAAAGCCTATGTTGTGCGTAGTTCAGGTCTTCACTCGGACGAGAGCCGTGTGTTGCATGAATGCTCGCGAAGAATGCAGCATCGACCCAGAAGGGTCTAAAAATGGCCTGTCCACCAGTCAGGTTGGCGAGGTCTATCTGTGGCGAGTCTCCCTCAGCATTCACGGCTTTCACTGCCGACTATTCCATGCAGCTGATGCTCTGCCCGGCACCTGGACATACCGAAGGAAGATCCGTCGCTTGTTCGGGTTCCCGTTGCCGGATTGCGGCGCCTCACAAGAGCTCGCAACCTACACTTGCCCGGCAGACATCGAGTCTTAAGTCAGCTGAATATGATCACCCCTGAAGTGACAGCAAACACCCAGAGCCTCCATCGCCTAGTCTTCCGACTCTCAGATCTCTCAAGATGTTCAAGGCTACCCATGCTCGTGGAGTGGAACCTACCCATGCTCCGAGTCTTCCGAACCCCACCAGACCCTGCGTGTGCCCAAGGGATGCCAAGGCTGCCACCGGCATACCCGGTAGGGGCGCCACCGTTGCCCCGTTGGGCGCACCTCACTGACCAAGGGGCTTGAAGCCTTAAGCATACAAGGCCGGAGACTGCTATGTTCGAGGGTTCAAGGCTTTCTCCTGTCGTGGCGCTAAAAACCCGGTACAGTTCGCGCACGGCGCCCGGCCCCCGCAGGGCTCCTGACCAGCTGACCACAGCGGAACTTCAGGGACGTTCGCGCGGCCGGACCTTGGCGCAGCGAAAGCATCTTTGAAGCCAGAACTGAGCGGAGCCCGAAGACCGTTGCACTACGTTCTTCAGCTCTTGAAATCCCCGCATGTCCTCCTGCTCTCGTTCTTTGTCCGTAGCAGCCGATGGTAGCCCTGAATGGCCGCAGTGCCGAGCGGCATGGAGCTGCTCGACGCCGAGGCCGAAGGTGCCGCTTGTGCGGCCTGCGCCCAGGTAGGAACCTCGGAGACGCTGGGGCTCTGAGAGGCCCTGAGGGGGGCCCTGGGGGCCGAATCCCAATCTCTCTTGGGCTCTTGCAGAGACGTCTGCAAGCTGCGATACCATGGCTGCATGAGTCACCTCGCAATGCCCGTCAAGGTCCCAAGACGTGTCCGGCGAAGAACTCAGACTCGCATGACAATGAGGCCGCAGCCGAAGCCTGCTGACCAGCTGCCGCGTCACCTTCGTGCCTCGCGGGATCCATCATCACACGGGCAGCAAAAGCATGAACGCGTGCAGCAAAGTCCTCCAGACCTGGTCCCTTCACCAAGAAAGCACCCCCCGACAATCAAGTCCGACGAAACAGCTGTGAGTGAAGTCGGCTAGCGGCGGGAAGTTGAGCGAAACATGCTGTCCGAGCAGTTGTTTTAGAATCGAATCTTGCAGCATTCTATTCATTTCTATCCTAGGTGACGCTCGAGAACCGACCCTGAAAAGGACAAGCAGCGCACATCTGGCGGCACCTGTGAGTTGGACTTGCGCCCGGCACCGCCAAGGGGCTCTTGTCATCCAGACGATAGGCCTGTCCACCAAAACCTTCCCTTCACTTCTTTTCAGTGTGCGGAATGATCTGACCACAAGAACAACACCGTCAACGTCAACACCGCAAACATGACCATCACTATCACCATGCTAGAGGCATCAGACGTGCAACATAAGCGTCACACTTCTCGATGCCCGACCCACTGCCCAGGCCTGCGGAGGGGTAAACGAAAAGCTGTTGATCCCATTCCTTGCCAGGCAGAACGGTGCACTGCTACCATCAAAACCGAGAAGATCAGTACGAGTAGTACCAGCTGTTGTGCTTGTAGTTGTACAGCAACAGGAGGAGGCGGCGGAGGAGGAGGAGGACGAAAGGAGGTGTGCCGTGCTCACCGGCACTGAACCTTCAAGAACCAGGAGTGTACCAAGTATGTGATGGGGCGTATGATGACCCGTCATCGCACGCCCGAGGAGCCGAAACTGATGATGCCGACGACGAGGATGGTGGTGATGAGGTTGATGCCTATATTTGTGAGGATGTCCTCTTCATGTTAAGCTCAGGAACGGCGTCGAACAGTACGTTTCGATGTATCGTTCTGGGCTGTGTGTTTCAGCCGTCGTCAGCATGGGAAGGCAGCACAAGAACCCCATGAAGGAGCAAAACGTACGGCGGCCGGTCACGTGACTTGGGGCGCTGCTCATGCTCGCTGCGCTTCAGCGGCAAGGCCTTCCCAGAAGAAAGAGTCTTTCAGCTCGAGGCTTGGCAGGGCGGCGCAGCATGGTGTCGTGGGTTCAGCCGGGGAGAAAATCGCATCTTTCAGTGCAAATCCTGACAACCCATCGAAGCAGACATCTGATGACATCTGCTGCTCCAGGCAGAGTGGCAACATCAAGAACCAGAAGCATCAGAATCCCGGCATTTCTCATCGGCAAAAGCGAAAAACGTCTCTGACCTGCCTGCCGTACGAGGCCGGTGGGCTTCTGGGTGCCAAACTCGACCTGAAGGGACTTGAGCGAAGTCTCCCACTGCGACACTCCGCAGGAGCTGGGAACTCCGACGCCCAGGTCCGAGTCCGCATTGCTGACCTGCAGTCGGCAGAGCTCCGCTCACAAACCGGATTTTAGGGTTTAGGGTTTAGGGTATAGGGTTTAGAGTTTAGGGTTTAGGGTTTAGGGTCCGCAGGAAGTGTGGAGGGATCATGACGCTTGCCGGACCATTAAGAGCTGCGGCTGTGGTGCATGACCTTCATAATCCACTCACCCGTCGTCCGCATGCCTGACCCGGAGACAGCGTCAAGGACATGGCTCACGCATAGCTCAGGATGAGCCTCCTAATTCCTAAAAGATTGATAAATCTAAATCTGCGTGAATCCAAGTCTGGTGCACAAACGTGGACTTAACCAAAGGCATGTCAGGTCTGGGGGAGTACACCGAAACCTACAGGCAAGACGTATGTTTTGACATGTGTGCTTCGGCATCTGTCCGTTGGCTTGTTCACACCACGTTGCTGCTGTCAGCTCTTCCGATGGTTCGCATGGTCTGTGGCTGCCTGGCACATCCCAAAAATGTCCTCGGCAGTTCACGCACATCACATCGGCTAATGTTTTAGGAGGCGACGAGCAAGCAAAAACATCTTGAGATCCCCAGCAGCCGGTGCGCATGCGAAGTCCGGAATCGATGCTCCAAAGGTGCCGGAACAGGCCGACAAGTCCTTTTGAATCCTGCGGGCATGGTAGAGCTCCTTGCTCCACGAATTTCCTTGTGCAGTGGCTCTGGGTGACTCTCTCTATCTATCTATCCATCCATCTATCTATCGATCTATCTATCTATATAAATACATACATAATATATGCATACACATATATATATATATGATTGAAGGCAAGGATCAAAGCTGCCCGGGGGCTACCCGAGGTGTTCCGAGCCTGTCTCGATGGAGCATCTACGAGCCTGCACAACTTTGCCATGGCTTTTTCTGCATGGCTCAAAAAGGAGTTCGATGACCACGAAACGGAGAGTCCCAGGCTTAGTGACCTAGTTTATTCAAAGTCCACTCGTGGAAGGCTTCAGCGATCCCAGAGAGTCATGAGGACAACCGCCTGTCACAAACAAACTCGCTCACCTGTTCTGTTGAACGAACGAAAAAGTGTGTTTGCTAGCGGGGAATTCCAGTATGTCAGATTGCAACAGCAGGATCTCGGAACCATCTCTAAGAGACACTGAATGAACGACGTGAACTCAGCCTCACCTTGTGACTGGTGTGTGCTGTTTACCCTCCATTTCGTAGCCGCCAAAAGCCGGGCCACTTCCTTCATAGAAGGTTCTGACTACAGCCTAGAGGCTCTGCAACACTCTGAGGCGCTGGGCACCGAATTATTGGCTACCCACGGATTCAAAGCCCAAATCCCCGAACCCACCAGCTGAGGCAGTTTACGAACAACACCATTCGATGCTTGACAATTTGATTTTCAAGCATTCTCAATTCCAGCTGCTTTGCCGCCGTGGTAGCCTCAACGTGCAGCCCCGACATTGGGGGACCAGTACAACACGCTTAAAAGTTGTAGACGTGGTCGCAGAGGCTTATTGACACCTCCACTTCTTCTTCTCCCTGTCGTATTACAGCCCAACGTCTTTTCCAGTCTTTATCACATATACATGCCTGGTACAAGATCACAAGCCAGCCGTAGCACGCACTTCGCATGCACATGTCGCTGCAAATTTGCCCCCTCAAGTTTTATGGAGGGGGAGCTTGTGGGCAGTGCACAATGCACTACCTTCGATGCCAGCCTCATCGGCCTTAGGCGCAAAGAAGTTCCATGCAGCCATGAAAAGCACAACCACTCATTCGGCTACGTCATCCGACAGCGTTTTTGCTCTGCAGACCCCGCGAGCAGGGGACGATCAGCTGAGTCTGACACGGAAAATAGTTCGTCCCGGCCAAGGAAATCGCCGCTCATTCAAGGGCCTCAACATCCCAAACAAGCTTCCAAGTCCAGGGCCTTGCTGGGTCTTTATGCGTCGGCCAAGGAAAGAGAGATACCAGTAGCTTGTAAGCACCATTTCAATGCACTGCAGTGGCACGGAGGGTCTGGAAGACTGTCGCCTATCTGGGTGGCCGGCTGAGTCACTTGCGTACAACCTCGGCTCATTCCGGTCGCCCGATCAAACAGCTTTATCCGGCCGAAAGCAGAACCAAAACAATGTGGAGACTCGAAATCGCCATGAGAACGTCCCAGCCGTGCGAGTCTCTGAGTGCCCGCACGGCGCTGCGAGAGAAGCCGAGAAGCCCTGCAACTTCAGTCTTTGGTTCTCTGGAGGATGAGACTCCACATCAGACAGTCTGGCTGCAAATCGTGCTCCCCTCTGTGCTCCGAGCTTGCGAAAGGCAACTACCACTCAACTGCTGCTGTGACAGACCGTTGAGTCGGTTCTTTGAATAAAAGAAGTACCATAGCTGAGGAAGGCACTCGTCGTGAAACGAAGACTGTCAAGCCTGAGATCTTTGGGTTGTCGGTTGCCTTCATCAATCGTGACATCGCGACTGAGCCGCAACTGTCACTGTTGTAAGCTTCCTGCCAGCAATGCCCGCAACGCTCGCAACGCCCGCGAAGAAGGATGCAAGCAAGTCCTGATCTCGTTCGACTAAGTGGTGTGTCCAAACTGCCACCAGCTGCTGGCACAGGGCTTGGCGAGAAGAAAGCCCTCTACGGAGCCTTTCTGGGGCTCCCGGCGAGATGCCCATGTCCGAGCTCCATCTTCCGACCTGGATCAAAGAGACAGTAGGCTTCCCCGTCGGGTTTAGGGCCGTTTAGGGTTTACGGTGCGGGGTTCAGGAAGTTCAGGGGGCTGCAATGGTTCACTACACCACTGCTAGAAGAGCCTCTTAAGTTGGAAGAGCCCGGCAGAAGCGAGCCTGCTGTCATGAGCTTTGCTGACACGTGCACTATCGGTGCCGATGCGAAGTCAGTCGGAGCTCCAAATCTTCAAGGGAGGAGAATGGTGGATTCAAGCAGTACGGCCGGATGATCGCTCTGATGCGGACGTAGAGATCCCGGTTCAAGGCCCCGGGCCTGGGCCCATCCCGATCACCCCATGAGCACGAGCGCAGGAGACCTTGCACGTCCCTGAGCAGCCGGCTGAGAAGCTGAAACTGCTCCTGGACCTCTGCCGGGCTCACGAGCACCTCCGGCTACAGCGGCTAGAGCTAGAGGAACGCTTGGAGAAGGCTCTGGAGGCTTGAGGTCCCTGCTGGGGTGGCCGGAGCCTTCGGGGCCGCGGTGCCGTTCGAGGCACCTGGCAGCATCTGTGTCACATCCCCGTCGGGGCAAACCATCAGTGTTTGGGCAATCGAGACTGCAGATACCTGTGGCCGTGCGCACCGATGGACAGGTTGCATGGGGTTTCGGCTTCAGCTTTGGAGGCCGCGGGAATTGAGGCCAAGCTTTCGCGGCTCTGCAGGAATCTTGCACTTCACGGGCACAGGAGCCGTGGAAGACAGAAGGTTGAGGAACGCGTCTCAGGCTCAGCTACGAGGTGGTTCTATTGAACCCGCATGATATTACTTGTTATATTACATTTTGATAAGATACATATTTAACTATACTGTAATATGTGATGTTGTTCTACCTTATCACATACATATATATATATGAGTAAGTTAACAGTTAGTGTATTTATTATGATGCCGCCAGGTCAAGACGACTATTCGGGGCAACAAGCGCCAGCGCAGCCTTGGAGCTTCATTTCTGCAGGCGTCACCTCGGGCCGCAGCTACGCAAGAACACAGCTCGGGCCAGCTGGCTGCCTTCAGAAAAGACCCCGACAAAAACCCCAGGATTAAAACAAGAAGACACTCAAAAACTACAGCAAAGCGCCTCGATGAGCTTCATGGGGCGATAGCGATGCCGCCGGCCTCGTGGGAAAGGGATGAGCCACGAGTGCCCTCGCTGCATTTTTCGACTCCGAAGTCTTCTCCGTGGATCTTCCCCGGGATCTCTGGACTACGGGGGCATGCGGAAAACCGATGCCTGCAGAGCCGCAGGTTGTCGAGCAGAGGCCCCATTGTCGCCAGTCTGCCCTCGGCACGAGGCTTTCTGACGCATTCCACAAGACAGGCCACTGGGAAGAGTCCAGACGAAGATCTGCAGTCTGCACGCGGCTGACTGGGGGGCTCCACTCGACAGTGAAGGAGTAAGGGCAGGACCAACTGCACCAGTAGGTTCTGTCCTGACATACGAGTGCTTCCTGTTCCGCCTTTACTGCTCTCAGGATGTCCATGTCATGCTATCGCTCACCGCGTTTGGTATTGAAAGCCCTCTTAGCAGAAAGGCCCCCCCACCCCGCCCCCAGCTCATAGTTTGAGCACTACATGTGCAGAAGCAAAGGTCAAGAAAGACATTCACCGACACACTAGTTGTAGAAGCAAGCTGCAGCAGCCCCAAAGAACCACGAAGCAGCAAAGCTCTGGACTTCAAGTGTGGTTCACAACAGCCAGGTGGATTCAGGTGCTATTTCGCGACTCTCGGCTGGGGAAGAGCTGACTTCAGATCCCCACCCTTCCTGGCCCGGTACATCCACAGAGAGCGGGAACCCCATGAACCCTTCCCATGGCCTGGCACTGGCCGCCGCAGGCCTTGACTTCGGTGAGGTCGCCTCAGCACTGCCAGCGCGCCCGGCTCTTAGGGTTTAGGGGTTTCGGGAACCCTAAAGTTTAAACCTCAGGGTTTGGGATTTACGGCTTAGTGGTAAAAGAACCCTGAACCCTCTCCTTCGAAAGCCTTCAGGCTTTGGGGCGGGCTTTCTGAGGCATGGGCCCTGACAGTCCTTTCCGATGCCTGCCTGCAACACTGGGAGAACGCTCTATATGGTCTTGTGGCTGGGCAGAAGTGGCAACTTCAAGATTCTCGTGTCTCAATGGCCGTGACGGCCTTGTGACAGGACGTCTAGCCGTCATCAGTTTCATGACATTTTTGGGCTGAACCGTGTCTGAGTGAGATCAGAATCCAGCAATACAACGTAACACACGAGGCCATGCGCTGTGAACTTCAGCTTGAGCACCATGTTTGCCTCGTCGGAAACCGCAAAACCGAGCCCGTCCTGCGAGATCTTCACTTTGCGTCGACGGAGCTTCTGGTAGGCGATCAGCTCACAAGGGGACCAATCCTCAGCAAACTCACGAACCTATTTCCTTCTAGGGGCTGACTAGCCTTGCAACTGCGAGCACCGAGCACATGCTCGCTTGAACAGAGATTGGCCTGCCACCTTCTGGATCCTGGGGTTTTGAGGGCCCCGTCAATGAAGCCTCTAGCAGGCTCTGAAACTTTGTTGCTTGATAGCTCCCCCTTGGCCGCGAAGATATACAATATATAACCAGACAATACCATATACTGCTACGTAGTAACTTTTTTTTACCTATATTATATGATAATGTTATACAGTATTTTATGATATCCATCCTAGCCTAAACTCAATTTTTGCAATGAGACATCGTATTCTTCGTGGGCTCAGACCCCCCTCTCGGAGCTGAGGTGAAGGCTTCCCAGTCAGAGAGCTCGCAGTCCCTGGGCGTCGGTTTTGGGGTTTGGGGTTTCAAGGGATCCAAGGCTTAGGGCTTAGGGTTTTAAGGGTTTAGGGTTTACGGTTTTAGGGGATCCAAGGCTTAGGGCTAAGGGTTTAGGGTTTCGGGTTTAGGGTTTAGGGTTAAGGGAAACAAGGCTTAGGGTTAGTTAAAGGTTTAGGGTTTAGGGTTAAGGGCTTCAAGGCTTAGGGTTAGTTTAGGGTTTAGGGTCATCCAGTGTCTGGAAGAAGTATACACATAGGAGATGAGGCTGCTTGCCCTGAAACGCTCTTGGTGACTTCGATTGCGGGTGCCTCAGTCTGCACCGAACTAGCAACCGTCAGACTTGACAGTCAAGGTGCACGGAAATAACGATTCTTGAGAGCATGCGATGGAGGGAAGCATACTTTGAAAGATCCGAGATCGGCAGTAACCCCTAAACCCTTAGCCCTGCTTGTCGAAATCGGATCTCGGCACGGCCAGGCCTATCGACGACCTCGCAGCTGACGTCTGCATGGCATTCGCGGATTTCCTGGAGCTGAGCAAACTGAGAGTTCTCTACTTTGTTCTCTAGGGCTTCTTCTTACTTCCGGTTTGAGGGTATCCTCCTTGACCTAATTCAGGCGAATTGGCCCTCTGGGACTAAACCCCAAACCCTAAACCTCTAAACCCTAAACCCCTAAACCCTAAACCCCTAAACCCTAAACCCCCTTTGTCACCCTAAACCCTAAACCCCCAACCCCTAAACCCTAAACCACCCTGAACCCCAAAATAGCCCGAAGCCCCGGGAGGCCTTGAGTGGCTCGGGGCAGCTCTTGCCGCCGTACGCCGGCTCCACCGCCACCCGCCGCTCCCGGGTCTGCCCAGGTACGGCCGGTAACCCGGCTTAAGCGCTTTCTTGGGCTTTAGGATGTAGGGTTTAGGGTTCAGGGATTAGGGTTTAGGGATTTTTTTGAGGGCCTTTTTCCACAGTAGTAGGGTTTAGGGATTAGGGTTTAGGGTTTAGGCTTTAGGATGGGCTTTAGGTGTTTAAAGGCCAGCTGCAAAAAGCACGGAAGCAAAAAAAGAAAGGGCACCTGGTTTCCGGTGCCGCACTTTGCTGAGCACTCTGACCTTGGTGATTCACATGCGCGGACGTGATTTCTGAGGTACAACAGCAGTCAAGCATGAGCATCGTGTCTTTCGGAAGCTCAGAAAGCCCCGTCTTATGCTCGCGAAGTCAGGTGTCGGCCATTCGCTTGGAGGCCACTGGACGCAGTCCACCGGAGCCTGTTCATGCAACTGCAGTCTTGTGCCACACGAGAAGCTTGAGGCTAAGCATGACGAGGCCCCGACCCCGCTCACGCATCCGTAGGGTGGAGAATGCTCCGACGGGCTAGGGTTGCACCTGCCCGACTCTCTGAAAGTCGTAGTGCCACAGGAAAATGGTTTCTGGGCCCATTGTGGCAATGCCTCGATCGTGGTGCTGACTGCGGGAGCAAATCCGCTCTGGCCTCTCGCTCTCGACGACAGGCCCCTCGCATGCCTGGCCTGCGTGGCTGAAACATAACGGGCTTGGTCTTGTCGACAACGCTTGATTCGAATGTGCAGGGGCATGAGGGGATGCTCAGATGTGTCGTTGGGCTTCGTGAGCTTCAGACCCTGTGACACCTCCGTAGGCACTGTACTGAATGATCTCCCGGTGCCGGTTTCGGGCACCATTGCAGCTGGCACTGCACTCCTGCCCAGCGGGAGTCGGCTGTGTGGGGGCGTCTTCGTGCTTAAACCATAGTATTTACATTACGTACTAGAATAATATGTTCATGCTTCGTTGCAAGTTCGAGGAAAACATTGAAAACTTGGCACCAAAAAGGCAGAGTTAAGTGGCAGCATGAGCAGTTTGACGGAAGACCCATAATTGCCAAAGGCGAATCACGTGACGGGATCTTTCGGGTCGCAGCCCTTCGACATGCTCGGCTCCTCCCACTGGGACCAGGCACCGAACTTGCAGTCCTGTGCGCCCATCCTTGCAGTGGCTTTTAAGCTATTGTGCCACTGCGAGTATTGCTCTTCTGGTTCGGGTTTCCAGTCCACGGGCCCAACTTTTTCATGCTGCAAGATCCTTGCACCGGGATCACTCGGGGTATCCAGGTCGAACTTAGAGTTCGTGGATGCAAGAACCAGCAATGAGCAGCTTTCAAGGTGAACAAGCCATACACTGTTTGTGTCACATGCAATGCTTACACATCGGTTGCCTGGGGCTCTCGAGGCAAGCCCAGCCCTGTCGGAAAACTTACAACGACCGTCGGCCGGGGTCGGCACTCGCTCTCGCATGCACGGCTTGCCTCAGACTTGCAGCTGGGAAGAAGGAATCATGCTCCAGGCTCCGTGAGGACGGCAGACCCCGCGGACACGATGACTATGCCCTCTTTTGCGAATGACGCCATCGGATGCAAACATCTGTTGAACATGCAAGCAAAATATGTTCAGGAATTCAACTGTCTCAAGAGGCGAGGACGGGGCTTCTGACCTAGCAGTCCTGCTACCTCAAAGAGAGGCCGAGGCCCTACATCCCGAGCAGAGCTAAGAGTCCGGCAGCACAAGGCCCGTACTCCTCGCTCGGTCCGCTAGCAGGGAAGCCGCAGTGGTTCGCCTCCCCACAGGAGGGCTCCGGGCCGAAGCAGGGGCCAAGTGCTTGCGAAGTCTCCCGCCCCCACCTTCACCTTCTCGGATCGAGTTCGCTTGCCTCGGCGGCAACGAGCTCCCTTGCTTGTGTGAGTCTCTAGGACTCTAGGAGTTGTGGCTGTTAGGAATTTGACAGGCCTGTACGATACTGTCGTCATGCTTACGGTGTCACGGCAACCGGCTGGGCCACAAGCTCGTGCCACCCTGACCACAGGTGACACTGCACCTGACAAGATGCGCACAAGCTCTCGCAAGGGTGTGGCTTCACGGATGCTATGCTTGTGATCGACTGCGCCAACTTCCAGAAAAGATTGGATCTGGAGCCCATTCTCAGCTTGGCACGATCCGAAGGGACCCCATTCGCCCCATTCGCCGTCTACGCATGCCTCAGCCGTGCCCTTTTGGGGCGTAACACGGTGGGTCTAGAGAGTCTAGAGGCCACAAGGCAGACTCTGAGCTTCCATCGGCCGACTTCGTGCAGGATTTTGCGCATCTCAGATCCGTGACAACCTGGAGGCAGCTTGGCTGCAGAAGTGCAGGAAATCGCCGGTGCTTTGCTGGCGGAACGGAGTGGCCTCTTCTGCAGGAAGCGGATCACATCGCTCGCCCTTGCCCACCGGAGTCACCTGAGTGGACAGATCTGAGTAGAGAACACCCCCAAGCCAGGTTTAGGAGCAAGAGGAGCTTCTAGCCCTCTCCCTGTCAGAGCATGGTGGCCTACTGTTGGGCAAGTTGCCGCGATCTTGCGAGACCGCGATCTGTAGCCCAGACCGCAGAAGGTCGCCTTGTGCATCGGGAAGGCTTCTGCTAGATCTGCTAGTTGCTTGCTTACAGGCAGAGACCTCCGATATGGGACACTTCGGAAAGGCTACTGACAGCGCCGGCTAAATGCCAAATGCAGCAGCCTCCTGGCAGTCGGACCACTCCATCCAGTGCCCCCACACGCAGTCGACTTTGTCTCCACCTCATTGGCTGAAGCAAGGACCGCACGCCTAGCAGTCGCCTGCTCGACCCGGTTCAAGACTGGAGGTTTTTCCAGGCAGAAGCTGCTTTTGGGAGCTTCCAAAGGTCTAGACTTGCAATTCGAAGATCCCGTGCTCCGAAGCTTAATGAACTTTCTAGTAGCCAACATCTAATCAAGGGGTTTTGCAGATTTTGTTATCCGTCCAAAATCTGAAGGCGAGATGCAAGTCTCGTTGGTGGATGATCCGGTGCAGGCGCCGACCTACAAGTGAGGGCACTCTTCTTGGACTCTGAGTTGAAGCAGAGAGCGATTCCCTTTACTCGAATGCCTCCAGGAGGGCCATGTTGCAGCCAGAGCCGCCTGGTTGCACTGCCTGCTTCAAGATGCAAGACAAGTCCACAACATGCCTGCCCCCAATCCCCAGATGTTGAATGAAGGCCGCCTGGATGATCTTGCGCTGCCGAACATTCTGGCCTTCACCACAAGAGACGGAGCACACGGACCTGAGCACAAGACACAAGCTTCAGACCTCGAACCCTGCGGCTCTCAGAGTCTTGAAGTCTCCGCCACAGACCTTACGCCTTGAGCTCACGGCCACAGACTCCAGTGCGACACCACGCAGTCCAGGTGGACGTTGCATGCAATCTGACGTCATGGTATCAACAGTGATGAGCCCGTGTGCGCAGAAAAACTCTGGCCAGCAAACGAGCTGAGAAGCTTCTAGACTAGAGCGTGAAGATGGATGCCAGAAACACGCTGCACCTCCTCGTTGCAGACTTCCGTCTCATGTGTGCTCCCCGTGCAGGGCTCGCCGCCCGGCTTGGCGGGGTGTAGGATCTGGCATGCACCGTGCGTGAGTCGTGTCACCGACTCAGACTGCGTTCGTGGACTTTGGCTTTGGCCTCGCGGGTGCGGAAGCGCTGGCCGCCACCACAGGAGGCCCCGCAGCCACCTTCAGGCGCAGCACTACCGACACGAAGGCGGCTCCGAGAGGTGTCTCTTTTGCAATCCAGCACATGTCGGCGTGTCCTAAAAGCCCGCCAAGCACCGAACTCTGCGCCACAAAAGGCCCTTCATCTCAAAACCTGAGAAAGCCTTTTTGACGTTCCAAATCTTATCAACATCCCCCCCCGAGAGACCCAGACCTGACGCGTCCGAGACTTTCACCGACTCTTGGGCTCCGGGGCCCAGGCCCCAGGTGCCCCACTCCGAGAAGACGCAGTCCCTCGTCTCCGTACCGGGGCACGGGCCTAGGTAGACTGGCAGGGCTTTTGGAGGGGCCCAAGGGGGCCGCAAGTGTTGTGGCCAATGGCGACTCTCACTAAAGGTAAAGGCAAACACAGGCAGATATCGACAACAAACATCGATAGCAATGCCGGGTAGAGAAAATTCTCTACCAATTACAAAGTATGAAGTTTTCAAGCCAGGCCAGTCAGAAAGATGGTAGTAGCCACGATGCAAATCGCAAAAACAGGCATTCTGGCTGCTGCATCCTGTCTGGGGGTCTAGCCAGCCTCTTTGAGAGTTCCGCTGCAGGGAATGCCCTTGCTTGCTGTGCAGTCTGACTTGCGCTTGCGATCACAACTAATCTCAGAGAAAGCATGACAGAGCTGCATAGAAAGCAAGCCCACAACCTGTAAGACGGTTACTGGAGGCTGCCTCCTCCTGCGCCTCGCGCACTGGATGCCGGGTGCGGTAGGCCTGGATGCAGAGATTTGCATGGACTTTCGCCCAACACCTGTGAATAAAGATGTCGGGGTGCCAGTTCAATTCAACCCATGGGCCGGTTGGAAGTTGTCGCTTTGACGCAGGGTCCTGGAGGGGCGATGCCTTGATGAACCCCAGCCCAGCCCTCGAGTTGCTACGGTCGCCCTCGGAGAAGTCCCAGGAAGCAGGAACTAACCGTATGAAACCCTTCGCCTGTACCGTCGAGCCGTCGCATCCGCCCCAGTCAGACCAGTCCTGCGTCCACGGACATGAAACACAAGTGATCCTAGTTACTACTTGTAGTATTCGTGTAGTTTTTAGGTTTGGGGTTTAGGGTTCTATCATTGTTGTTATTCCTGTCAATACTTCGCTTGTTTAGCCCCTCCAGCTTCTCTGTCTGCAGAGGGTCCGAGAGGAGGCAGTCGTCGGTGCCGGGCTCTTGGTGTGGGTCGCCAGAACCGCAAGCCTCCGTGCCGCACTCCTCAGTGATCCTGACATGGCTCCGGATGACGCAACCGCTGTGTTGCAACTTTCAGTAATCGCTGACAGCGCGCGCTCGATTGAAAATGTGCACAACCGGGTGCCAATCTGGATTTTTCTGTGAGCGGACAGCAGCATCCATTTCACCAAGTTTTCCAGAAACTTAACAAAGACCACCCAGCTGCCTCATAGATCCCGTGCACGGCTCCCCGCCGTGTTGGGCGTGCTGGTAAATCTGCGGCGTGTAAAGAAAGTCTGCTAGATGAAGAGCTTCCGCAGCTTCGTGGTTCAGTTCAGGGGATGCTTTCACTGTTGCCGGGAATCACGGCTTCGTGCCTCCCGGCTACGACTTCGCTGACCTCCACCACAAGACCTGGGCAATCTCTATCTGTACCTCTATCTATATCTATCTATCTACCTATCTATCTGTCTGTCTATCTGTGTATATATGTATGTACATATGTATGTGTATGTATGTATGTATGTATGTATGTATGTATGCATGTATGTATGTATGTATGTATATGAATGCGTATGTGTATGTGTATGTGTATGTGTATATGTATATATATATATATAGGGCTGTATCTGAATACATATAAATAATTTTATATATATGTAGATAGAAAGATAGCTAGCAAGACAGATATGTAGACAGACAGATAGATAGATAGATGGATAGGTAGGTAGATAGATAGATAGGTAGATAGGTGCATAGGTAGATACTAGATAGGTACATAGATAGATAATGCCTATGTCAAATTTACTTATGCAGTGGTTTATCTGATTGCTGATCTGTTTACCCTCATATGCACATACCCATCTATATGACGCGTTTTATGCGATGGTGCAGAGCAGTACATGGTGTAGCCGGCAGAGTAAAGCATAACATGGCATGTTACCGCACGTGAAGTTTCGGTGTAGCTGGCAAATGCAGCATGGCACAGCGAGGCATAGCAAAGCATGGCTGGTATGGCACAGCCCAGTAAAGGGAAGAGAGTTATGCTTTAAGAGACTATACACCGGTCACAGCAAGTCAACAGCCACCATGGCCACAAGTTCCACCTCAACTGTCTCAGTGTCCGCAAAACGCTCTCGAGTTATCTCGAGCTTTCACGGCGACTGACAGCTTGGGTACCGGCTTGGAGCATTCCCGCCACCTGAGATCAGGAGCATTGGCAGTTGTGCAGAGCTTTCGAGGCAGAGTGCCTGTCCCAACAGCAGGATCGCGAGGGCACGAGCATAATGAGGAGAAAAAGGAAAAGAGGCGGAGCTTCACGGAAGCATTGTTACGAATCGCGAAGCGCCGATGCGTCAGCTTACTCTGCCGAAAGCTGGTCCGAAACCCGCCACCAGCGCAAGCAATCGTCCACTTCAAAGCTCCGAGGGCTCAGGACTCCGCTCAGACCACTCCGAGAGCTGGCAGTCCTGCTTCTCGGCGCTCGCCTGAGCCGGGCCCCTTTTTTCCTGAAGAGTCGCTCCTTCCAAACTCCAGGGAGGGGCGATGAAGCTGGGAGGCTATGTATGCATTCAGCACATGCAAAGTCATCGATCTTCCAAAGAAGCTGGAAACATCTCCTCCCCAAACTCCAAACAGAGCTGCTTCGAGGCCCGGAAGAGTCTCAGAGAGCGACCTCGCAAGGCTTCGTCTCCTTCTGTGGTCCTTCCGGGGTGGGTTACTCCCCCTCTGGGGTTTAGGGCCTTTCGGTCATGGCTTTGGCTGGTGCATGGGGATGGCCGGGATTGGCCACATGACTCGCTGATGCCATGAGGCTTCTGACAAAAATGGGTTGGTTCTGGTTGGTGGCCTTCGGGCCCTCTCAAAGCCCCCCCCATGGTCTTCGAGCCCATCGAATGCCCGTCGAAACTCCGCAACCGAGCATCGTGACTTGTCGTCCTGTGCAAGGCGCACCAAAGGGACCGCTGGGGACAGCAATCTCGCGCAGCCGCGTTTGCTGACCTCAGCGCAGGGACATCCTGCTGATGCTGTCCCAGGTCCCGGCCCTGGAACACCCACAGTTTGGAGCAAACGATCTCAAGTTGTTCCGCAAAGGATCTTTCCGCTTGCCTCGACCCTGACATGATGAATACATGATCAGCATGGGCGCATGCAGGCTTCCCACCAGGAGAGAAACGACAGTTCTAGTTTCGAAATGATTGTCCTGTGCTGCATGCTATTTACAACTGTGCACGCTATGTGCATGCAGTGATGCATGGTGTCACTGCAGAACAAGCAGCAGAAAAGTTGAACATTCCAAAAAGGTGAGGTGACTGAGGGCATGACGACTGGACTCGGAGCAACCACCCCAGGTCGACCAGTGGGAGAAAGTGCACTCCTGGCCAGCCAAAATTTCATAGATGACCGGTATCCTTGGCAAGTCGGTGAGAAGCAAAAAACCTCTGCATACACTGGATGGCCTGTGTACCCTCGCACTCTGGGAGAACGCAGGCTTTGGTCTCTTTCAGATTTCCTGTACACCTCGGCAGAGGCAGCACAGCTTCGTGCAGGAAACTTGGCAGGGTAAACCGATGTAAACGGAGAAGTATCCGAGCGAAAACAAGAGGCAGGAATTCCGAGCTGCCAGCGCTTTGCCACAGTCGTTGTTCAGCCTGCCGGCTGGAAGCTGCTCACTGGATCACAGGTGCCAATGAAATACTGCCAGGCACTCCTTCCAGTCGTGGCTTCGGCTAAAATCCGAGACAGATGCTAGCAGAAAGCTGGAAAAAATTGCCAGCGTTCCTGGAGATCTTGCGAGACCGGGTGCAGACGCCGTCGCCTTGGGCTGAGCACAGTTCCTACGACAACTAGACATGGCCTTCCGGTCTGGCAAACGACCTATCAGCGTGGTCGGGCCCTGACATGTGGTCGGCTGACTCCAATCCATCCAGTCGTCGAACTCGCAATCCTGTCTGAGTGGGGGGGGGCATGTCAATCGGCGTGATCCCAAGCCTGTGGAATGAAGCTCCTGTGGAACGCAGGCCGTGCAGTCTTGTGGTAGGCCTTTGCACGTCGTGTAGTCCACCTGCGCGAAGAGCCGGAGTATCCACCACGAGCCATACTGCTACAACTCCCGAAGGCCGTCCCTTTTTGATTGCTAGTAGGCCTTAGACTAAGCCTAGAAACGTGACCCGCCTAATAACCTTATAGTCAACTTATAGTAGGTAAGCCTAAACTGGTAAACCTAAAGTAGCAACCCCAATACCATAACAGTAACCCTCTAAAAACCAACAGAAAGAAAAAGCACCCCCTGGTGGAAAAGACCCCTTAGTGCTCGCCTCGTAGGCCTCGCAGGTCGAGCCGGCGCCGGTGACGTTGCCCACGGCGTCCGCCGGGTTTTTCGGTGGGGACTCGGAGATGCTTGGACTTTCAGCTGCTGGGGCTCAGGGCTTCTGTCTGTGTTTTCTGTGTTTTAAATGGCCTCTTTCCGGGGCTCCAGGGTTTAGAGTTTTGGATTCGGGCCCGGGTTTTTAGAGTTTAGGCTTCCCTGACGATGAGGGCCTGCTATTTGGTACCGGTATGTTCTGCTGGCACCACCTCGTGAACCTCACATCCGAAGACCGCAGAGAAGACATCCGAAGACCGAAGAGAAGACAACTGCTACATTTTTCCCTGTGCAAGAGTCACAGAAACACAAGTCATGACAACCAGGGCCCCGGCGCTCAGCGTTTGAAGCCTTGACCAGGCGGGACTTCGCTTGCTGAAGCTTTCCCTTTTCCGCGTTGAGGGAACTCTGTCTCTTCGGAACCACGGCAGACTGGGAAGCCCCCAAACTCCCGAGGTCCCCGCATGCGCTGCCGGCGGAGGCGACCCCCAGTCCCGCATGTTGCTGAGCAGGCACCCTCCTGTGGATGCGGCGGGGCCGTGGCCATCCCTTCTTTCTTTCGGAAGGGATGAAGGCAGGGGGAAATCCCCCTTGCCCGCGCGCCTGTCGGCGCCCCCAACCGCTGTGGAGGCGAAAAAGGGCAACCACTGGCTCAACCAAGGCAATATTTGCCTATGCTGGGCTCTGCATTGCAATACTCCAGAAGGGAAACTCACGGTACCACGGGAAGCATTACAGCCGACCAGCCTAAACAAAAGCGTACTTCGAGAAAAGTCTCCTCAAGTTGTGATTTCTCCCTTCGGGGAGTCCCCCGGTTATTGGCAGCTTGGGCGCAGCAGTTTTTTTTCAGCCCGCTACTTCGGTGGGGGTCTGCCCGGCGATATGCTGATGCCGCGCTGGAAAATGAGTGTGCAGTGTGGAGCGGCCAAGCTCTCGACATCTGTGCAACATCTGACGATGTGTGGCACAGAACCAGTCTCGATGCCAGGCGAACAGCGGCAAATAAAACAAGCGTTTTTAGACAGGAGGTCGAGAGAGACTGGACTTGCCGTTGGCCGAAGCGCCCCGCAGCCTTGCTTCATGAGACGTCTGAATTCCTGCCATTAAACGGCAGCTGGACAATGCACCCTCAGCAAAGGTCCAGGCGACCCGATAGAAGCTCGCTTGCCTTCGTGCCTGGAGATACCAAGAGTTGAACTCCATCCAGCCCAGGCAGCATGCTCTGTACAACTCTTCCGGGGCCACTGCACGCGCGGATGCACTGTGGGATCGAAAGCGGCAGCTTAAGAATGGCACAAAGCCCCAGCACACCGGACGGCATCGGCTCCACAAAAGAAGCATGCTTGGCACCGCCCGACCTTACACGGACGACACCGCTGTATAGGTGCCGAATGCAAAGAAGAAGCAGCCCAGGGAGAGCACCAGCAAACAGAGCTGGGTCTCAGCCTTGCACCAGCGGAAGCTCGGAGAGCGGCGTCGGACCTGGAGGAGCCAAATGGGTGGCACGATGAAGGCAATGTAGGCCGATGCAAAGGACCCCACAAATTGAAGCACCGTCCTCAGGTCTTTGACGACCACCGCAATGAAAATGATCACAGCCAAGCTGAAGAGAGCAAAGAAGATGTCGAACCACCTAGTCACCGTTTTGCCCCAAATGACCTTGTCCTCCTTCTCGGTGTTGGCGTCACGCTTGCGGATGCGTCGCACCAGACAAGCAGCGAACTGACGCACCGGGTAGATATGGAACTGGAAGCATGTGAGCACGCTTAGCATCAGGCCCAGCATGGTCAGCACCACAAGCGGGTTGCGTCCAACGGGCTTCAAGGAGTGCACCAAGGAGTCTTTCTGGTGATCTCCAATGCCGAAGGCCAGCACTCCGAACACAGACGTGAAGAAGTAGACCACAAAGCACATGATGAGGCAGATGACGGCTGCCGTGTGCATACGCATCGTCGTTGGCTCCGGCTTCTGCTCCCCAGTAAGTTGTGGCACAATGAACTGATTGTTGTACGCGAAGACGACATTGTTAATGCTTGACATGTAGGTAAAGGCCGTGGCCGTGGAAGAGAAATGTACATCGTCTGGGGTGACAATCGTTTCATCGAGTCCGTGCTCGGCATAGTACCACATGACACAAGCGACCAAGATGAGAAGAGCAGCGATGCTCACTGCAGCCAGGTGCCGCATGCAGCTGACATGCCTGGCAATGGCCAACGGAGCACAAACCAAGACGCCCGTGAGCACAAGAAACAGCTTGCAGTGAGGCTCTGATGCACCAGTGACCACTCCAAAGAGTTGGCCGCAAATGATGAGGTAGCCAACTGCAGAACCAACGCAATTCACAGAGTTCATGAACCCGGTGAAGAGGGCCATCACAGGGTGGAGCAATTCATTGCACAAGTCCTCGTAGCTATAGCAGCCTGTCGCGATGCAAGCCGTGGCGATAAAGCGAATGCTGGCCAGTGAAAGAACGGCTGCTCCGATCAGCGCAACAGCTTGAAAAACGATGCCCACTTCCGCTGCGTGGCCTGCCGTGGTCAAAATTCCTGCGCCAATAGCAGCCTTGCTAAGGCAGACGGCTGTGGGCAGGACGGCTCCATGGCTGAACAAGGAAATGCGTCGGCCACCAGACTTCTCCGAGTCCGTAGAGAAGTCGCTTACAACGCACGTCGAGACATCGCTCTCGATCTCCAGATGTCCTTGACCTTCTGCACCCCGTCTTCGACCTGCGCAACGGACATGCTGTCGGAAAGCTCGGTCTGAGACTGATGGCGGTGAGCTGGGCTCCTGCTGGGCTATACTGGGCTGGTGGCTTTGAGCCAAAATGGCTACATCCCGTCTCCCTCTCTCTCTCTGACCGCAGATGTCCCCGACGTGAGCTCAGATCCGCTTCAGGAGCACACGGGCCAGACCACCGGACTCCAAACACACCAAAAACTCGAAGGTGAATGCAAGCGGTCCTCCCACTCAGCCCAAACGCACCAGTATCTGAGTCAGTCGAGATCAGTCGAGATGAGGACTGTTGTACTTTTGGCAGGTACGCTTATCGCAGCCGTGGGTGGGTACAGTTTCACTCGAGTCTCAGTGACTCCAGCGCACGGAGGGTGTACCCGGCCAAAAATGCACAAACGTTCGCGTAACTCCCCGTCCAAGAGCAGGACGTCTTCTTCGCAGGACAGTTGTTGCACTGGGAGACCTGCAGTGACATCTTTGAACTTGTCTCGTGGACGATGTTTTTTTTAACCAAAGGAGCCGGGCTCTGCATGTAGCTAGACTTAGCCTGAAACATCCTGAAACCTTCAAGTCAAACAGAAACCACGAAACTGCCACCATGCAAAGAGTCGCTAAGATGACACGGAGCCTCGCGGGAAGACGAAGGCTCACAGGGCTTGCCCAACTCGTTCCCGAGGTGACGGATCTGCACAGCTTAAAGAAACAGGTTTGGTTGCGATTTTAAAGTAGCCTTGTGGTGATCAGCTTTACTGCAGTCACCGTATCGTGGTGGCCGCCTTATAGTCACCTTGCCTTAGTAACCTTACTAAAGTATTAGTCTTGTTAGAACGTCGAAGCCAATGCATCGATTGCCAAACGCATGGGCCCTGTCTTGTCTTTGCACAGCAAACTCTGCAACCGGATCAGGCCTCAGTCAGAGAAAGCATCGCGAAACTCTCTAGTGGAGAGGACAAAGCACTGTACGAAGCGTTCGGCTGATCAAACTATATACTTTACACGAAGGCCACTCAGGTGAAGCGCAATGTCAAAAGCCAAGCCCCTAAGCTCAGCAGCCACAGCGCAAGATGCTAATGGCCCAAAAAGGGCTCTAAACAAAAGAAAAAAAGGCTTTTCCTGCTACCTCCGAAGAGAAGCATGCTTCGGCAAGTCCTTGTCCCCAGTCAAGAAGGACTGCAACAATGCTAGCGATCTCTCCGGTTGGGTTGCAGGAACCATGTGCCCAGCTCCGTGCACCGTCACAAAGTCGAAGGAGGCTGCATGGCCCGGCTGCGTAGGCACATCGAAGTCGGTGCGAAAGCCAGCAGTCTGGCCCAATACCTTCCATGGCACCCAGTTTCGGCCAGTCAGTGGTGAATAGCCCAAGTTCCACACGAACTGTTGTGTTGCCGAGGTGGAACAGACGGAATCATCATCGCCAGAGTAGATCATGATCTTCAAGGTACCGTTCCGGATCAAATCTACCCAGTATGGCATCATAGACTCTGAATGTTCGGTTTGATTCCAACTAATGTTTGCACATTCGGTCCAGTCGACGTCTTCCGCATGGATAGCTTTCCTGACTTTCGGGAGGTTCAAGTACGTGCGTGTTACTTGAGTTGCACAGGGGTAATAGGCCGGCGGCTCGATATCCTGAGTTTGCGTGAGTCCTCGCAGCAGCAGGCGTTGCTCGTGCTGACCCTCATGCGTGCATGTCGAGAAATCCAATGCATACATGTCAAAGTCTTGCAGGATACTCATGATCTCTGCCGTCGTGTTCGAGCATTTCTGCAGCCACGGCGTGGCTTTGCAACCCGACTCCTCATACTGCGCCCACAAAGGTGCCGGCAACAGCTGGTGGCCCCAGGCCGTTTCGATCATACCCGCAGCGCTGTATGCCCAATAAGTGTAGGGGTTGCCCAGGAAGATTCCACGAAAATCAGGCATGCCGTTGTCCAAAAGCAGCTTTGCTAGCATGGGCATGTAGTGTCCTCCATATGATTCGGAAGAAATGTAGAAGTCATGCCCAGCATACTCGGGAAAGCGCTCGAAGAAGTTCAGCACAAAAGCGTGCATGTCTTCGACGGCTTGGTGGTCGCCATACTCGATGTCTTCAGTTGTCGTTGAGAAACCTACCCCCACAGGCTGCTCGATAAACACCATGTTGGCAAGTTTGTTCCACGCCTGTGGATTGTGCATGAGGCTCCCTCCATCCGGCTTGACGCGGAAGGGGCCCTGCTCGGCCAGGAATCCAATCAAGCCACTGCAGCCCGGACCACCGTTCGTCCAGAGAATGACAGGAGCCTCGCTTGCGTTGCTCTGCGCCTCCACAAACCAGTAGAATATCTGACGGCTCCCATTGGCCCAACTCGGGCTCACATCGATATAGCCTGAAAACATGCGGAAATCCACAGGTGGGGCTCCTGGGAGATGAGTGATCTCGTCCTGCAATGCAGCTGGTCCATAGGCAAAGGCCATGGTAGCGAGGGCATGGCACAAGATGCCCGCGGCGGCTTTCATTCTGGGAGCTATTGTCCCGAATTTCTGTACAACTTGCGCCTATGGGTCGGGCCTCAAACTCGCGGGCCACGGCAACACTGGCACACACTGGCAGAATCTCGGCTGCGTTGCGCCTCTCGGACACGAATACGCTCGCCACTGCAGTGGGTGCAGGCACCCCACTGGTCCCAATCGTCCCATTCACAGTCCTGTGCTGAAAACTGTGCTTTTGCTGCCACCACGAATCCTGGAACCTTCAACAGCTGAGATTGGGACCATCGCCAAGCCGCATGTCTCAGTACCGCAGCCCTTCACCTCACGAAGCAGAGAACCGGAGACCGACCAAGAGCTACAAGATTCCATAGGATTCCATAGGTTTCTGAGCTTGGCAACTTCCTGCTCTGGTTACCCTCTAAGGTCATATACTGTACTAGAATGCACTATAGTATACTGGAATCACCCGGGGTGCCTCCTCCAGTGTGAAATTGCACGGCTTGCCACCAAGCCTGCACAGCTCTATCAAGACGATCCGAACATGAACTATCATTGTAGTATATTACAGCACATCGCGTAAACTAGAGTATATGCGCGATAGTAACGGTCTATTACGGTATATCATGGTATACTTTGTATTGTAGCAGTCAATTAGTATGCACATATATATCTATATATGCAATCGTATTTTGCAGTCTACAACTATCTTCACGGGCCTGGAAGGCCGCACGATATGCCGCTTTCGCTTGTGGATTCCTCCGTTGCAAGTCTTGGTGCAAGCCGACCTCGGTGTGACATCGATCCCGGCAGCTTAGGAATACTGGCCTACCGTATACGAAACCTAACAAAAGGCCCAGGCTAAATATGCAAACACTACACTATGCTACACTTGACTACAAACGGCCAGACCGAAAGCTACACAAAAATCATTCAGCCTATGTACAAGTGGCATAGAATAATAGCCTAATGTTGGATTGGATTTAATGAACCGAGTGGACATAAAAAAAACCTCCCTGGCCAGGATTTCCAGGCGGAAGACTAGTTTCAATTGTGTAGAGATTCAAAGCCAGATTGGCCTAGATGACTGCTCTTAGACCCGGGGTGGGAATAATAAATGGGGTGATAATAAAACTCCGGCCCCAAAATCCCCGAAAAGTTGAGAAGAAGAGGACCCTAAAGTCAGGCAGCAGAGTGCTTATTTTAGAGAAAGAGAAGTGACAATAATAAGCTCCGCCGGGGCGGGGGGTCCTGAAGCAAGGCTTTCTTCAGAAGACTATTTAGAAAGCAAGAGCTAATGGGCCTCGAGACAGAGGCGTTGCTGTTCGAGAGCTGCAAGCTTTGGCCGAAGCCAGGGACTCTGGATTCTATTCTTGAGGCCTCTGCCTGATTAGAATTCTATTAGTATGACGATTATTACTGCCATTAGTACTATTACTACTTACTATTACTACTACTACTACTACTACTACTACGACGACGACGCACTGCTGAGTAATTAATACTGCTGCCACTACGAACCTCAGACACGGCCAGTCGTTTACTATTGCCACCCCCCAACCCAAACCCTGCCCAAGAGACCCCCGCGCAAAACAACCTCCGGGGGGGCGGTATATTAAATCCACTCCAACATTATAGTAACCATAAAACAGAAACATACTACAAACCTAGAATAATCGCCAAAAGTAACCACAGTCCTTAAACCCTGAACCCTAAACCCTAAACCCCTACAAAAGCTGGAGAAAGGCCCTGGCCAAGAGCTCCAAGTACCGACCAAGCAATCCTGGACTTCTCCGAAGCCGCACTCCTGCACCAGGGAAGCCGCGGCCAATCGGCTTTGGGGTTTTCGGGGTTTGGGTAAAGCTTGAGGTTTAAGGGGTTTGAGGATGTTTGGGGTGTCCGCCAAAAGCACTAATACAACAATGGAAAGTACGCCGATAATCTACTCCCAAAAGCATGCCAGCAAGCCCCCTTCATGCTTTCACAGGACAGCGGCTTCACTCGGGAGGAAACTCTGGCAGCTCAGCCCACCCGTCCTTGATCTTGGCATCGGATGCTTCCTGCTCGCGAGCAGAACGCTAGCTAGATGCCAGAGTTTCTGCCTGAAGACTGACCGACTGCATGCAACGGTCCTGCGGTCCGTTGCATGGCCGCATTTCTTCAAGAGCTGCCGGTGAGTCATCAGGATCCGTGCACCTGGCATGTACAGTCCGCGACGACCGGCATCTCGAAAACTGTCTGCACCACGCAGATCTTTGTCGACTTAGAACGTGCATGCAGTCCCTCTGTTTGATGTGCTGAGCCAGGTGCCAGCTGCCACTGCCGCTACCCTGCTGAACGATGTGGCGCTTGCGCTTCTGCTCTCCTGGGTGACTGTTTGTGCGGAACAGCAAGAGGGAGCGGCTTGCTATCCGAAAGAGGCCCCAACCGTAACAACTGGCGGAGCAGTTGCTCCAATGAGACCAGGTACTCATGATGCAGTCGCGGTCTTCCTGCAGCTGATGAGAGCGGAATTTAGTCGGGAGACTCTGTCGGACGGCGGGTGTCCTCACAGGGCCAGTCGTTGCACTGTTGAAGATCCATCGCCCTCAGCGTTACAATTGCAGACAAGCCGGAAATTACAGCATCTGCACATCCAGGGAAGGGCTACCCTGGCTACAATCTTCCATGATTGATAGTGTTGACACCTGATGTTCTGCAAACGCTCGTGGCGTCACCAGCCACTACCTCTGTCGGTGTTTCAGGGAGGCAGAGATGGTAATGCCCCGCAGGTTTCTCAGGACTCCGCGGACCGACTGCCGGAGTTCCACAGTCCAGCGCCTGGCAGATTCCAAGCGTGCCCGAGAGCTGACCTTTCTAGGCCACGTCAGCCTCGCTGGCGACCTTCCTGTGACGCCACCGCACGCCGCCAGCACAGGCCCTGGGAGGCAAGGGCGCAGGGCATCTGTGGAGAAATGCTTCCTCTGCACACCTCGCCTCAAGCCTCAAAACACCCCCGCAAAGCAGCGCCTGGAGCACTGGCCCCATTCCCCCCAGTCGTGCCAGACGCCATCCTGGCACGAAGCCGAGGAGCAAGGCCTTGCTCGAAGGTAGTCGCAGGCTGGAAGCGGATGCGAGTTGATGTGCTGACACCGAGGGAGGGACGCCGTCCCGCAGCTCGCGATCTCGCTGATACTGCAAGTTGGCACACACACACACACACCATCAGCAACACGACGGAAACTTTTCATGCTCTAGTGATGTGACCGATGCCCCGGCCTGTCCAAAGCCCTGCAGGGCTTGCCACCTGAGAACGGTTGGCATCCAGAAGAGGAAGAAGAAGGCTTCCAGGTTCCCCACAGCTGCAAGATGCTGCAATGAGGGTTTACATGTTTCATCCTAAACCGTGCAGTGCAGACCCCATCCGAACAGTTTGGACGCCATGCGAACTTCCTCAAAGCATCAACGCATGAAATCGAGAGCCCGGCCGGGAGAAGGCGGCATGTAGATGGTCCGGTTGCGACTGCACAGGCTCTTGGGCTTCTTCATGGGCTTTCGGGATTTAGAAGCCCATGGGCTGAGGGCTGCTTGAAAGAGCAAGTTCGGATGCGGAGGAAGCCCTTGTAATCACAAAAGCACAGAGATGCTTGTCGAACGATGATGCTGTCTCTTCGGGATCGCAGCAGTCGTCCTCAGCCTCTGCGAACTTGGTAACTTTAATCTATATGGTCACAGGATGTCACAGGTCGTCATTGCTGCCGCTAATCATTGGCGCGATTATGGTCGCATGTCCGATTTTTCGTGCTGGCAACAACAACTGCGGCACCCACAGCAACCGCAGTGCTTTTGCCGCAGTGCCCAAACCCACGTAGTCTGGCGGACTTCCAGGACATTCTCAGTCATGCCAGCAATATTCCAGATCGTCATCATCGTATCTTTCTTCATGTTTGTCTGTCCTTTTCGTACCGTAATCATCATCATCACCACCATTATCAACGGCTTCACTGTGCAACTTGACCATGTGCTTCCGTGATTCCTGCACAACAAAAGGTCGCTGTACCGTCTCTGGTGCTGGAATGCCTCTTCTGCCCGCCATCGCAAGTGCGACTGCACTCCGACCAGCTGTCCCATGTGTCCCAAACCTGCTTGGAGCTGGACGGGGTTCGAGCACATAACTGAAGCAGCACTCATGTATCACTGATGCACGTACTCATGTTTCAGAAGCCCTGCGACTACCCGAAAAGGCGCGAGAGGTGTCAAATCCCAGCTACAAGCACCTTTCCTGTAAGAAGGAGATGTGACACACAAACGGGCTCCAGAATCTGAGCACCTGCTTTCCTTCACATCCAAGTACATCTCAGCATCAGGCACAGTCCACAGCATTGCAGACTGGCTTCGAGCATCCCATGACCTCAAGAAGAGCTGGGGCACTCTCCCTTCGCACAGCTTGCTGTTCATCGCAAACGGCTCACTCAGTCAAACTCAAAAGAGATTTGACGATGTCCCGCGATGAGGTTTGCCACATTTTGCCACATAGAAACGGAGATCGACAGTAGACTACCAACACCCGCCGTTGTGTTCCTGTTGCCTGTACCATATACTGTACTTGTCAGACCCTGCCCTCTATATGGGGAACCGAAATCTTAAGACCCTGGGCTTGCCTCCTGCAGGATGGCACTGCAGCCGCGACCTGCATTAGGGCCCGCAGCTTCCGGGGTCAAAGGCTGGGGGCTTGCTGGGGTTCGGGAAGGCAGGACTTTGTGGATCTATCTCTATCGCGTCGGTGATTGATTGGTTCCGTCGCCCACACCCCATCGCCTCGCAACCCTGCTCTGCTTAGAGACAAGAAGCAACTTATAAGTACAATGACGACTGAAGGTCCTGGGTGCCCTTCATCACCTTCCCTGATGTCCCTCCCCAACCTCCTGCGAGTGGTGCGGTCAGAACCTCCCGGCTGCGCTGGCGAACGCCCTGGCGCCGGGGGGCACTTCGTGCGCCGACATGAAGGGAGGAATGTTCCCCCCTCTCGGTTTCTCTGACTTCAGGTGGCGCCAAAAAGCGGTTTCAGAGCAAAGTCTACAAGAGTTCGCTTTGCCAGAGCACCTGTCCACAGGAGACCGAGCAGTCTGTCCAGGAGGTCCATAGCGAGAGCTGGCAATCCCTGCCCAAGGCTCCAAAGTCAAAGCACAGAGAGCGAGGCGTTTCTTGGGGCTTCAGTTGACACGGAGAGGGCCGTGTGCATTGAAAGAGCTGGCCTCCCCTCGGGGTCCAGCTGGCAAGGGATCTCGTTGCAGGGCATGGTCTCCAGCGTGGAGTCCTGCGATTTTGTTGCGTTTGGAGATCGGCCCATCCCAGCATCCGAGGAGGCAGAGAGGACCTAAGGATGACACGGCGAAGACACGGCGAGGGCGTTTCCCCGCACCGTGGATGTAAAACCTGAAGCCCAAAACCCAAATCCCAAAACCCCACAGCCAAAGCCCTAAACTGCCCGAATCACGTAAGCCCAAGCGACGAAGCTGTGAACTGGTGGCGAAGTCTCTTGGGATCGCTCAGAGGAACAGGAAGAAATCTATGGCCCTTCAGCGTTTTTGAACAGCGTGTTGGGGTGTGCTACAATACGTTACAGTATTGCAGTCATGATCAGGAGCCCTGTCTAAAAGGAAGGTGAAGTAGTCGCCTCGCAAAGCCTACGTTTGATGTGGTTCCGAGTCTTGCAGTCCTGGCAGGGCCGTCCACCGCGCTTCGCTTCCACCTCAGAAAACCCCGAGCTCCAAACGGCCCCAAGCCCCTCCGAAGCCGGAAGATCACCCCCGGAATCACCGACTCGCCTCGACCGTCCGGGTTCGCAGGGTCTGCCCGCCCTCGCAGGTCTTGTCGCAAAGCTTCCACGCAGACCAGGCGGAGAGCCTCGGGGGAAAAGGCAGCCCCTCGGCCCGGCTTTGCTGTCTAGAGTTTGGAGTTCTCCACTCCTTGCGGTGTTGTCTCTGCACTGGGCGGCCCCAAGTCGAGTTCACTGCAACCGGAGGACCGGACGAAAGTCTTGCAGAGAACAAGGCCCCAGCTTGCAGTCAACAGGCGGAAGCACATGGGATTCCTGCGCTGAGGGAAGTTTCAAGTCTTGGGTCCCTCTAAGCTCTCATAAAACGGCCACTAGAAAACTGATGCCCCAAAGGCAAAACCGGGTCTTAAATCCTGTCAGTGCCTTGTATCGGCCCCTCCAAGTACTCTAGTGACTCTAGTGCGAGAAATGGACGAACAACGGCCAACCCAAACCTGGCACGCAAAGATTTCCAAGCTTTGTCCCTTCCTCCACACTCTTGGATTTCAGTTCTACTCCACCCGCCTCGCAGCCCAGGGTCTCTTGCAAGCTATCAGTGCAAGCTGCACCACCGTTGGCACCTGCAGACTTCGCGGTCCGGGAGTAAACAACCGCTACGATCATCATAATGACCTCCTGCTCTTCTTCTCCCTGGCTTAGGGGGTCAGGCCCCCCGCGCTTCAAGCCCTCTTTCTCTCGGGATGGCTGTCGTGAACGCAAGCATGGAAACAGGCATGCAGAGCACCTGGAATGGCGATGGAGCGGGAACGGTATCTTTGTCTGGAGTGTGCAGGTACATCAGGGTCGCAAACAGACCTGATCCAAAGGCGGAAGCAAACTGAACATGGACCAGTGCATGCGAGTCAGGCGGATTGAGATGCTTGCCAATCACCCCAGTGCGACAGCACACAGTCCTGCCAGCAACGATCCTAACTGGTACAGCAGGTTTGCAAGAATGCTGTGCTAGATGACTGCGTGGAGGATGCATCGGATTCATACCTCAGCGCTCAGATGGGCATAGCAGTGCAGTCTTCCGAACTTTCACCATGAAAAGTCCTTGGCCGTCTCTCCGTCGCACACGATGTCCACATTGCAGGGTCGGGTCGATTGAAGGACCAAGGCCCTGGTGGAACCAGCGAAGCAGCACTACTTGCAAGATGATGAGCTCTGCATATTCCGGTTTACAAAAAGTTTTGTATTACTTGCATGAACTTCAGTTGTAAATTCCTTAGAGCTGCCAGCATGGACGGCCTTCCATCTTCACCTTCGCAGAGCTTTCCACCTTCTGCTGCCTGGGGCGCATAGAAAAAATGGATTCTCGGCGTTCCGGAAAACCCTCCTGCCAGATGGCATGCAATGAGCCAGCGGTGGCCTCCTGGGCAATCGCTCGGACACGAAACTGCTGGCCGCCGCCACACCTGCGCAGTAGCTGATCTTCGGGGTTGGCGGTTGACGCACAACTCACAGCCTGTCCGCAGCCCAAGATTTTCTAGTCTGGCTCTGAGCTGCCGGGCTCGCGAGTGCAGCCGCTCCAAGACATCCACTCACCCAGAACGCAAGGTGCCTGGAGGCAACAGTTACAAGCTGGCCATGACTGTGCGACTATGTGTGTGTGTGTGACGAAGTCGACAGCGAATCTGAGTCTCATGGCCGGAGGTTCTCGATCCCCGCACGGCTCGGTCGTGCCAAGTGGGCCCTGGCCATGGAGAGAAAACGTTGCACGACGATGCACGAGCAAACGCAGCGCCTGGCCTGGCAAGGGGCTCCTCCGTGGGATGGCTCCTGCGCCACCCCGCGCTGGCGCGTCCTCGAAACAGGTTAAGCGGCTAAGCTAGCCGCTTCTGAGCCGCTTGTGCTTCGTCTGAAGACCCGCAAGGCCCTTCCCGCCTCTGCAAGGTGGTCTCACTGCAGCTGCCCCAGTCCTCCCAATCAGTGAACCTGGGAAGTTGCAGGGCTGCGAGGCCAAGGGCAACGGCACGGGTCTGAGGCAAAGGCTCACAATCCTTCGGAGCATGAGCCCCGGGTTCGCAGTACCTGCCAGATGGGCCAGCGGGAGGGAAGCACTGCATCAGCGCATGTAAGAGAACAGCACTTTCCTGTAACGTCTCGGGACCAGCGATGGCTCCAGAGTTCAACTTCCAAAACAACTTTTCGACTGCTTTCCGAGTCACATCGAGTCTGCCATGGTCCCCAAGCACTGCTTCCCTCCACAACGTGGCGGGCTGAAGTACCTGGCTTTGGTCGGAGGGTGCGAAAGGGAACTTCGAGGGATCTCATTGGGAACTGCGTCTTCATATTCTGACTTCGGGCAACGACTTTAATCCGATGTCTCTTTGCAAGTCCTGCAGCTTGTGGCATGCCTCTTGCGCGTGCAGAGGCCGGAGATGCCATCGTTCTCCCACTCTCTCCATTCGCTCCACCTGCCAAGCACGGCCTTTACAGCCCCAACTCCAAAACCGTCTCGCAGCCGAGCCCCAAGCTGGCAGTCGACAGGCATGCAGTTGAACTCGCTCTCTTGCGCGCCTGGGGGCAGTATGTTGACAAACTGATCTCTCATGTGGCACACTGTCTGCAATTCGAAATCGATGTGTCGCTTCCCTTGGCTGAGCTGTAAGCAAGGCAGCTGGTCCGGGCAAGTGCCCTCCTCCACCTGAGGAGCTCTGGGTTTGCTTCATGCCCTCGACCTACCGAAGTGCTAATTGCTAGTCCAAAGGTTCCTTGCTGTAGCACTTCGAAAAATGACTGTC